GTTAGATAATATCAGAAGTATGGTGATAATTAAGTTATATTTTAGCGGTTTAAACCACAGAGTGATAGCAAGATAGAGATCACAACAGAAAGAAAAAGCTACATGGAGCAACAATTGCAAACCACCCAGCAGCATGGCAGACAGGAACGGTCACTCCTCATTTCCATCACGCAAACATATATTTAAAACCTTTTTTGTTCTCTGAATTGCTGATGGTAATGACAGCAGTATTGGGGACAATCCGACGGATTGTAAACCTTCTGTGTCGTGTAATTAATATTTATTAAACAATAAAAGAAAAGAGGGAATGACTCGGCTCTTGACTAAACAGTTTTTGTAGCTTTAACAATCAGTAATATGTAAAGAATACATACAATAAAGTCAATGCAGTGATTATTTTTACATTTGATTATTCAATTTCTGTTTTTATTGTGTCGTCCTGGATTTACTCCAAAAGTTACACAATAGCCCAGGAAGACATGAGATTTTCTGTTGATATTTAATTTAAATAAATAAAAGGATAAAATCATTAATACTAACATGAAATATACATTGAGTTATTGTGTCACTTTGTTTTAACACTATATGAAATAAATCTTCAGAGTCATATTTTAGTATAAATACTATATTTTTATTTAAATATTTTACAACTTGGAAAACATATTTACAGGAACTTTTCTTGCATTGTTACACTGTACACACAAAAAGTGTAGTTCTCATTCGCACATTGTCTGCTTCAGAGACTGACAGACTCATCTTGACTGCAGACAGCACCATAGAAACCATCAAATGAGAGAAGGACGGATGATACAACCAGAATTGAGGACACTGCTGTAAGCGACACTCAGACGAGACACACAAGCTTTGCCACACAAAGGCCTCTGGATGGGACAGTATGAGATTTTAAGGCACAAATGGCATGTTGATTTGTATGATGGAGCCACTCCTGGTTCACTCACAGTGAAACACAGACACAGATCTGAGTGGCGTTCAGTCACCATCAGCACAACTCAGGGAGGCAACTTTCCTGTTTTGAAATGATGATGTAGGAAAATTGTACTAGAATTGATAAAAGCACATCTGACGGTTTTGGACAAGCCATGACAAGAGAATTCGGAAAAATGTGTGGTGTGTGTGGCAAACAAAGTGGCAAAAATCCAGACACAAAAGGTTTAATCACAACACCATCTCATGCAATGACACTCACTAATGGCGAAACGTGACATTTACGCACTGCCAGAGACACCAAACAGAATTGCAAAAATAATGTTTTCTTCAGTTGCACACTAATTGGTTTGCTTTTCAAACTCTATCTCTGGGACTGATTTTATCATTTAACAAGTAAAAAATCTGATCAGTTTGTTCAAACAGTCAATATCCAGTGTTATAGTACATAGGTTGCAATACAAAAATACCTTCTTTAAAGGGGTCATCGGATGCCCATTTTGCACAAGTTGATATGATTCTTTAGGGTCTTAACCAAAAGTCTATAACATACTTTGGTTAAAATTTCTCAATGGTAGTGTAAAAAACACCCTTTTTTACCCTGTCAAAAACAGCTCTGTTTTCAGCACGCTGTTCTAGTCCATGTTGATTTAAATGCTAATGAGCTCTGCTGACCCCGCCCTTCTCTTCCGTGGAGTTACGAGCAGACTGTAAACTTCAGCCGCGAAACTGGCTAACTAGCACATTATTAGGAAAGGTGATTTGCAAAGATTCATAAACAACCCTTATACTCACTTCTTCTGTAGGTGAGGGTGGATCACGAATGATTCACGCAAACTTAAAATGCATTTAGGCAGATCGGGGATCGGCGCATTCACTTCAAAGCAAAAGTAACGTTAATCCTCTGCGTCTTCAGCGGCTCAGATGTCGGGAGTAAATGACGACTGCTATATTAATTATTACATCCAACAACAAAGCACCTCAATCGCTTAATCGGAGACATCTGGTCTTCCCCTGCACCGGAGTCGACACAATGGCGGACAGCTCACAGCTCACTCAGGGCGGGTCTAAGGTAAGACGGCCTTGTCAATCAACTATCGTGGGAGGGGCCTGTACAGAACTACGTCATTCTGCCAGGAATCTCAGAACAGCCTGATTTGAGAAAGGGGATTTTAAAATAGGGATTTAAAAAAAAATCACTGAGTGAATTTTTATCATTATAGGATGGATGTGTACACACACTTCCAACACACATTTATGTTCAAACAACTTGAAAAGTGAATTTTGCATCCGATGACCCCTTTAAGAGTATTAAGAGTAATTAAGAGTAGCTGTCAATATAAAGAGAAGACCAACTTGAACATTTGCCTCTTGGGGAAAAAGTGATCAAAAATTAGCAGGCTATATTCGGACACAGACTGATCAATATGCAATTTATGACGTCAAACTTGTTTTTTGTATTTTGTTACATTGAGACATATTCCAACAAATGCAAAAATGACTATAATTGGATTTCAAACCACCATGTGTTGTTTAGATCAGTTTTTTTAATTATATTTATTTAATTACATTTTTTTGGGTGATCCTAATACTTCATTATTTTATGGCATTTCTGATCCAAAATAAATCATCCCAATTCTTATTGTCTGACCAAACCAAAAACTGTCATTACTCCAGCAAACTGTTAGCTCCGCCTTAAACTAATGCCATTGGTTGAGTTGTTCAAAAAACAAAAACAAACAAAAAAACAAAACAAATTGCAATTCTGTTTGCTGCCTCTAGAGGCGCTGATATCACACACACATCACCTTTGACTAAAATAAAAAGACAGCTAAAACATTTTCGACCTAGATCACACATTTGGTAATTGACAAGTACACAACTGAATAACCATTACTTATGACTGGCTGTTTAGTTCATTTCCATTTCATTTATCTAGAAAGAAAATCAGATTTGGGACACTATGGTAATTCCGGCAGATACTCTTAACATTTAAAGATTAAACTGCGGTCTTTTAGATGACAGTGAGACATTGGATGAGAAAACCTTGGTCATGCTGGTCTAATGGCTTTCCTGCTTTGGTTTTCTTTACCGATTACACAATGTGGATCGAGATGTTGATTTTAACATGACCACAACCCACAAGACTTCACACATAAGAGACCACAGTTCTGGTCGAATTGTGTTGCAGGCACAACTGAGGACTTGATTATAGTCCTCTCTGTCTGTAGGTGAATAGCCATGCCTTTATGGAACATATCAGGACAGCAAACCTCACAAAACATTGAGTTTCATGTTTATATAGGATTTTAAGTATGAAAGCTTTAAAGAATATTTACTCATGGGCTATACATATATCAATAATTTTTGACATACTTAACTGAGGTTTGCCATCCTGGGCATGCACAATATTTCACAGACATTGGAGAAACAAAACTAAAAAGACATTTAAAAAATCTGTATTGCTTTATGTTTTTCCAATCTCAATAAACTGGACAAAAATATAACAATTATGTATAGTTAATGCTTCTCATAGAATCAGTGTTCCATTTTATCCAAAGACTGCAAGCCAATCACACTCAACGGTCTGCATGAATTGTCGCTTTCGTGAAATAAAATCGCCATCAGCGCACCCATTTTTTACTGTACAGGTAAAAACATTCATATAAATAATGTAGTCACTCACACATTTATAATTTACTAAATTAAAGCAGCACATGAGTGTGAACCAATGTGACTCTAGAACCAATATAGAGCGACACAGGAAAAAAAAAAAAGCGTTAGATACCCTTCAATCAATTTAAAAAAATAGCCCAAGCCTCGCTAGGGAGCACAGAAAACGCCGAAAGGCCTTACGGTCGATCCGTAAAGACCAGCGTTCCCTGACTTCTGCATTCTGTTGAATCTTGTCCACTAAAAGCTAAATATTTATAAAAATAAAACGTTTATTTATATACCTGACCTTTCAATTCATGAAAAGCATTGCCAGATGCTAGCCATTTGTGCATGTAGACTTTCAAACTCAAGGGTCGAGAGGCGAAGTCATGTAAATATACATCCAACACGCATTCAGTCAACATCCACCATCCCCGTGAGCGAGTGTATCTGTCTATCAGTGGATTGTGACATTCTCTGGTACAGACCTTAGTCAGGTTTGACGCCATATTGAAAATAAGGATGCCAGGGATATACTTACAGTCTTTACGAACTGTATAAAGGTCCTAGCTCATCTAATTTTCACCAAATCACAACTTTCAAAAGTTTTCAGTTATTGTCTACGTAACATTTTTCAGAAAGACGTTTTGTCAGCTGAACAATCGGTTTGATGTTAAACAGTACAATCCACTGAATCAACATCCACCATCCCCGTGAGCGAGTGTATCTGTCTATCAGTGGATTGTGACATTCTCTGGTACAGACCTTAGTCAGGTTTGACGACATATTGAAAATAAGGATGCCAGGGATATACTTAGTCTTTACGAACTGTATAAAGGTCCTAGCTCATCTAATTTTCACCAAATCACAACTTTCAAAAGTTTTCAGTTATTGTCTACGTAACATTTTTCAGAAAGACGTTTTGTCAGCTGAACAATCGGTTTGATGTTAAACAGTACAATCCACTGAATGCACTGTACTTCTAACCCTCACAGCCTCAGTTTCATTCCTGTCAAAACTTAAATATGGCACTACACTGACTAAGGTCTACGATTTCTGTGCAGTTCAGTTTCTATCTTTTATAACCAAACACAAGCTGTACATTTAACTCATCTCCTTCCTGCCTTTCAACTTGCAATCCATCATCCAAGACCTCACAAAGTGATGGTGTAGATGAAGGTTGTCTAACTAGAGGTAGATATTCTGGCTGAACATAACTAGCCAGCACATCCTAAAGCACTTGCATTTCGCAACAGGTTTAAATCTAGCTAAGCCCCTTTCCGAACTTTTACCTACCTTTCCATTACAGCTTAACCAAACGGGACACGTTATACACGTACACACAAAAATACAGAGGCACTCCAGCACATAGAGGCTTCAGAGATGCTTAACTTCTCTCTCAAGACATAGACAACCAACCATTTAACAACAGCTTTTCATTTGCACAAACCACACGAGTGAATATGACAGCTTCTCCCATTAGAAACCACTTTTTGTGGGTAATGCATGGCTCTCCTTGCCCCTTGGAAAAATAGAAATGACACAAATTCACAACACGGGTTGAAGATTCCCAAGATCCTTTTAAACACAAATGAGGTCATCAATTGTGGACTGTTTGTACCGCTTGCATCACCACCCACACCAGTGAGTTCATGTTATCCTCCTCCCTGCGTTGACTGGAGATCTACTCGAGAAATGGAAGAATGGAAAGTGGTGCTGGGAGAAGTGAGATGGGGAGCAGTGCAATAGGAGAGGGGTGGAAGACACCGGTGTAAGAGAAGAGCAAGCTCCACTGAGCGCGCTCAGTCTGTGTATTCTGCCACAATGGACAGAAGCACTGTGATGTCGTCAGGCTTCCCCCCTGAAATGAAAATAGACCAATTACAAGGTCAGTACCGCTGATTATGGATATTCAAAGAGGTTTTGGAATGAGAAAGGTAATGGAAGTCAAGAACCTCTTTTTGAAGACTCACCTCTTACATTCAACCCGTTGTCACAGGCAAACTGGGCAAAAGGGGACATGTAGTTGGGGTCGTAGGCCAACTCGTGGGCCTGTTCAGCAATGCTGCGGGCAGTCTGCTGGATACTATCATAGTTGGTGTTCTGAGGCAAAATAAATATAAAAAGAGGGATAAATAAAATGAAAAACGTGGAAAGTACCCACCGATATTATACCGATATATCGGCCAGGGAGATTAATCGGCCATTATATGGCTATTTTGAGATTATCAGTATAGGAAGATAACCTGAAGATAACCTGAAAAAGGTGGAAATCCTACTAATAACCAAGTATAGTGTTAAGCCCCATTCGTACGGTAATTGTTTCTCAGGGGGACGTAAGTGATTTTCACCATTTACAGGCGGTAGTTGGTGATTTAATAGCCGTCCGAATCCAGGATGTCGGTGTTTTTCTCTCACCACCCCAGTAACAATCCCCAGCCGAATTACCTACTGTTTTTTGACAAACACCAAGGTCGTGTGGTAATTTAATTGCGTCCGAATCCACATCTCTGAGTTTACGAGAAGAAATCGATTCAAAATTCAGCTTAAACCCTTTTTGAGCACTCCCGAACCGTAAGGTACGTTAACTGTTGTACTTCGGTGTAATTTGCATACATATTTATTTCTGAAATGCTGGAAAGTATTTAAAAGAACAATGCTTCATAACTGCTCACAGCGACTGGGAGCAGAAAGAGAAGAAAAGCACGCAAACATTCGAAATGGGTCTTTATTATGGCAGCAGCAGGTATGCAATACAATTTTAAAATGTGTATTATAAACGGATATATACATAACTATATCGCGTATAAATATATACAACTATAGCGCGTCTATTTTCCTATTTTTAAACAGGAGATTTAAATAATCAAATAATAAATAGGATTATATATTATAAAATATGCTTGGAATAATAAGAATACATTTTACATAAGTATTTTTAAATGCATTTTACACATTAATAAGAATAAATTTGTAAATAAAATTAATTTTATTTACAGCAGACAATTATGTGACTGGTCACGTGAGCAGCACATTCCCGGGTTCGTAGGATCACAGAACTCACTCCTCCTCTGTGAATAGATCGCATCCGAATCCATGAGTTTTATCACTGAGGTGATATGTAAATGTATTTTTACAGACGTCCATATGAGAAACAATTACCGTCCGAATCGGGCTTTAGACTGATATATCAGCCATTTTGATTCTAAGTTTATCGGTATCAACCGATAATACAGCCCTGCATCTTGAAGAAAAAAAAAAACGAATTACCAAATTTGATAATGTTGAGTTACCAAAAGCTTGTTTTAATGACAAAAAGTACTCCAAATGCATCATTTAACTTAGAATCTGCAAAGGAGTGGAAAAACATTTAAAACAGTGTAAGGCATAAAATAATGTCTTCACAAGTATTTATATGCACGAAAATTGGCTGAAAATTGAACAGAGATGTAACCTAGCCCCGAGGAAGACAGATAATCAAGTCTTCGTGGCAGTTTTTTGGTGATTAAGGGATAAAACAAGATTTCTTCACTGTACAAATGGTTGTCAAAAACCATTGTGAGAAAATGTGACGTGCTTGAGCAAAACAGGCACTATTTTTGGAATCAGCATCCCTAAATTAGTAAGAAACAAGTATTGTTGCTGAATGCTGATTTCATTCTGCAAATATGATGCAGGACGGTGTAATTGTGGACACTGGTCCCCTCAGGTCCAATTGCATCTTATTTGCGATCATAACATTGCGTTATATCCACACATGTGATATATCAGCCACACTAATCTCTATAATATTGGTATAAGCCAAAAAACAAATCAGTTGACTGTCGCCCAAGCACCCTCACATTTAATGCAAGTACTGTCTGTACCTTGAGTTTCTTGAGTTCTTGCAGGATCATGTAGTCAGGCATGTTGTCAAAGAGGCCGTCAGTAGCAGTCAAAATGATGTCCCCTAATTGGACATCAAAGGAAGAGCTATCTGCCTTATTTAAAATATGTTTTTTACGTATGTCATTTTACAATCTCCACTTAACTTGATTTATTGACCTTGTCACAGTCAACGGGGGTCTGCATATGTCTCTATGACATTTCCTGGTTTTTTTTGTTTTCCTTTCAGCATGTTTCTGCACATTGGTTGCATCACATGACTTATCAAATGTTTTACATTTGTTTAATATTTTACCAAAACTTCTTAACTGCTTAAACAGCAATAGTAGATTATGCCAAACGACCAAATAAAGATATAATCTTACTACAATAGCAGTACAATATCCCCCCAAAATTTTTTTTTATATTAGACGCTATATTAAATATTAAATACTTTTTTTTTATAAAATAAAAACACACAAAAAAAACTTTAAAAATAAAATACTTGCTACAGCAGAGGTGTATTCAAGTCATTACAGTGTTTCCCCTGCCATCATATTAGGGGGGCGGCCATCAAACTCACATAGCCTGCATAAGCACCAGATCAACCTACAGTAGGTGCATCTTACACTATTAATTGATGTAAAAGCCACAGGGCCCCACGCGCAGATGTCTGTGACACTGATCTGTGACACACAACCATCTGTGATACTGCAGTGAGTGTATCCGCTATCAGCGAGTGTCACCAGTCAAAATGATGTCCCCTAATTGGACATCAAAGGAAGAGCTATCTGCCGCCTCAGGACTGAAAGAGATCGACAAAAAGATTTAGAATTACACTTCTGTAGAGCATATGCAAATGCTCTACAATACCAGCGTATTTTAATTACTATGCCACCCACATACCCAAGATTGATGCCAAGTTATGAACACTTGTGAAAAATAAATTTAACCTTCTGAATTACACTGATAAATAAATAAATAAAAACAATATGTTAAGCATAAAGGACCTGCAGTTCTCAGATTAATGTCTATTGGCAAAAATCCAGTCATTTTGTAGAAATGCTAATGGGAAAACAATGATCTAATCCACTAAATTAGACTGAGATACTTGATCAGGGTTGAAACTCAAGCAGTAGTGCAAAAGGGTAACAGGCCAGAGATCAGCCTGACCTAAACGGAGGGTAATGGACACTTGGGTTTAAGAGAACTTTTCCAGACCCAACATGACCTCTGGACCAAATCCAATCAGTCAGGTTGTTTTCTTGGAAACCAGACAGGCCTCTTCAAGCTCCAAATCCCTTGAGTTTTAGTTTAATCTGTCTTAGTGCACTGGGTAAGTATTAGTGCTCTGATTATGGGTCACATTTAAGAAATCAAAAGGAGGACATTTGCTTATCCTTTTAAAACTTGCTGCTATTATATTAGATGGCTTTGGGTGTTTTCCAGAGCTCTATGGCAGTCTATCATATTTGTTTGTAGGGCCCCCGACTAAAGATTTTTCTAGTAGACTAATAGTCATTAATTTAAGCCGTTAGTCAACTAAATCACGTTTGTACTAATCTAATTACTTAAATATATACATGGGGGGCCTTTAAGATATAGCCTGTTCTGCGTTCAAGTGCACACATAAAACTAGCCGCAAAAGTAATGACTGAATGTATTGGAAAAAAATAGCAAGGAGATATTTTAGATATTAATAAAGGAGTGTTTTCTGAGTCACTGCTAGCTGCAAAGATGACGCTGACTCATCTTCAGAGATGGATTTACATATGGATTACATGAGTGTTCATTTTTTATTTAAATTAGTTTGTTTAAAAGTAGACATTTCAAGCTTTCTATAGATATTTCTCATGTCTGAGGCAAGTAGTCTATAGTTGGTTCATTTTTGTGACGCGGACCAGTACAAGTACCAATCATTAACAATCTAAAACAACAATTTACTGGTACTAATGCTGTTGCTTTTTGTATGATAAATTGTTTCTCAGCTGAATTGTCTTTGGATTAAAACATCTGCTAAATGACTAAACAAACAATCATTTCGATCTCAGAAGACCTGCAACACCCGATCTTGGTCTTGATTCCAAAACTCAATGTATTTTTTTTTACTAAATCACTGCCACAGAACTCAAAGCACCTGAGAGGCTTCAAAGTAAATAGACAAATGCATGTAATTCTACTTGTAAATGGATATTTTAGTGCCAATGAGGCACACTTAGAACCCAACACTCAGGTCAAGCTCAGGTCAGATTTCCTGCTGCACATGAGAAAGTTAGATGAGTTTTTTCAGTGGAGGTCTGCCATAACAGACTCTGGACGACATAAACTAAAGGTCCCACATCAATTTAGCAGGACATGTGGAGCTTAAAATAATCACACCCTCTACTGGGACTCAGTAAAAAAAAAAATGTAAAAAAGTGTTCAGCACAATGCTGATTGGCAAAGGGGAATGGGTTTGCTTCACCACCCTCTCTCTTTGATTGGAGGTTTTGGGTATTTGCGCGTGCGTGTTTGGATGTGTGCCCCTGGCAATACCGTGGCAGTGAGGAACTAGAATCACACGGCCTTGACATTAAAGAATTGGGCCAACACTCCCTCACAGTGCTTTAGGCGGAACTCTTAGGCTGTTCTCACTTCTACAGGGTTCAGGAGAATCTCAGCTAATACCTGCAAACACTGCTCAATCTAATAAGTATCCACGATAAAGAAAAAAGAAAAATAATTAAAGTTTAATGTTCTTAGAAATTCAGAAATGTTTTTTTTTTTTTTTAAATCATACAATTAGAAAAGTTTATATTTAAGACTCTAAAAAATGGTGTAACCATGATTAAGTATAAACATTCACCATATATATATATATATATATATATATATATATATGGTTATGCGTGTTAATTAATTATTGCTATGGACAGCTGGAAGGGTGTGTTGAAGTAGTGTTGCTGCTCGTCTGACCGATGGACCACCTCTCCACCCCGAACCACCAAGAAGCCTGAGTCTCCCAGATTGCAGGTGTGTATCCTGTGACTCCGACGATCCAGAACGACTATGCAAGCTGTGCTACTCCCTAGAAGAGACAAAGAGACAAAAAAAAATAAATTAAACAAATAATATACATAGATTTTTTTTAATTGAAGCTATAATACATAACTTTTTATATGCAAATGAAACAATTTACACTTTACTTTTTATTCACTCACAAAAACAGTTGAACCTTTGTCCCCATAACATAGTCATGTAACCTACATACTGTGTGCGACAGATAGGGGTGTGCGATATTGACAAAATATCTCGATATTTTCTGGGATTTTATATGACGATAATTAGACGATATTTTGCTGAGTGTGTTATTGTGCTGGTACCTTAAGGACTGCCGAAGACAGCTGACTCATAATGTTTTTAATATTCTTCATATTCTGTGTGGTAGTCAGTTCATACTGATAGAAATTAATCTTTTCCAATAAGTTTAAACTGATTTTTGCATTTTATGGGCATTTTTACCTTTATAAAGCCATTTTTTCTAAAAGTGTCTATTATCTTTTGAGTCAAATTCTTACATTTAATCAGGGAATTAGAATAATAAGACATTTGGGCTGTTACCAGGCAAATTAAATCAACACAGAAGCTGCATCTGAAGTGGCATTTAGATGTATTTACACACATGTATTTTGTTTAATGCAAGACATGAATGCATTTAACCTGCAATTGCAAATGCATAAATAATGTTTTGATATATTAAACATAAAACGTTGAATACTGATATTTGAAATGATTTAAAACATGAAAAAAATCTATAAAAAAAAGAAAAGAAAAAGCCGAAATTTGAAATTAAAACCGCCAGCAGGTGGCAGCAAATCACTGTTAATAAGTGAGTCATTGCGATTGAACTGAATCATTTAAACGGTTGATTCATTCAAGAACGAAACACCGTCATGTTGCTATATTATCGCAGACGATATATATCGCACACCCCTAGCGACAGCATGTCCTCACAGCAAGCGGGTGCCGTGATGCATTGTGGCTCCTATTATATAAGAAGCGGTCTACACTGCAAGCAGCATGACGTCTATGCAGGGAGAAATTGTTGTATGTAAAGTATGTCAGGGGGACAATCACATGTCCACTGTAAAAATACCACCACCAGGTGTTAACAAACATCTGCAATAGGGTTGGGCCGATAGACGATGCCATCGTCTGACAGCCATCACGATGTTAAGCTGAAAGATGTGAACTTTCATTTACTGTAATGCAACAGGCTACCGCTAGCAAGTGGCTAACCTTTTAGTGGCTCCGTAGAACGCTTTATTTGTTTCATGCTTTGGGCGCACCCCTAACCCCGCCCCTCCCCCACCCCCCGATTTTGGTAGACATCGTCCAACCCTAATCTGCAAGCATAACTGACAGTAGCTGGGTTTCCATCCAAAGTTGCGAATTTAATTTATTCGTAAAATTGGAATATCGTATAAAACATTTGCGAATAAGCACCGTTTGCATCCAACAAGTCAAAGAGAACAAAATCGTCACTTCCTCATAAACTGGCACTAAATATCACTAAGAAAAGTAGAAGAAGCCACTGAATATAATAATTTTCATATATAATAAATCACTTTGCTCGGGCATTTCAGAGTGACCATAACAACATTTCAGATGCTGTGGAACAAGATCGGTCCGATGGTTAGTCAGGTTTTTGCTGTCCCATAGCGCAAAGTCGCATTACTTTTTTGATGCGCATTGGGGAATTTATTCGGCAAATGCATTTCCTTCTCCCATTATTCGCACAAGTCAAAAACCACCACAAGCGAGCGTAAAAGCTTTTGCGAATTAAGGAATTTTTATTTGAAATTTGGCATTTCCATCACTCATTTCTAAAGTGCATAAAAACAGGGTGATGGAAACATAGCTACGGAAAAAAAGTAATGTAAAGGTAACATGTACTTTTCATAGAACACAATCGGTAATGCTTTACAATAAGGTTTAGTTTGTTAACATTAATGCAAACAAACTTTTACAGCGATTTTGTCAATCTAGGTTAATGTTGATATATAAACATACCATTGTTTATTGTTAAATTTGTTCATATATATCAAATAATTTAATCAGTTTGAAATGTTAAAAAATATATTACTATTACTATACTATCGTTCAAATGTTTGGGGTCAGTAAGATATTTTTATTTAGTAAATTAATACTTTTATTCTACAAGGTGCATTAAATAGATCAAAAGTGACAGTAAAGACATTAATAATGTTACAAAATATTTCTAGAAAAAAAATTACACTCTTTTGAACAAAAAAAAAAACAACAACAATTTCCACAAAAACATTAAGCAGTACACCTGTTTTCAACATTTATAATAAGAAATCAGCAAATCAATTACAAAAATACCAAATCAGCATATTAGAATGATTTCTGAAGGATCATGTGACACTGAAGACTGGAGTAATGATGCTGAAAATATTCAGCTTCAAAGGAATAAATTAGGTAAATTTGAAAATATATTACAATAGAAAATAGTATGTAGGCTAGTAATTAAAAATCATAAATGCTGTAAAAGTATTGTTCATTGTTAGTTTATTACACCTAACACTTTAACGTTAACAAATTTAAATAATTACCTATTAAACCTATTTTTAAGAGCAATGTTTCCCACTGATCAGGTTTTAGGTTGAACACTTAAATAAAGAGGAATCTCTAATTAGGCTATATGCTGATGGCCTCTCAGTTTATCACCTCACACAATCTTTCCTTTTCTCGATCCCTGGCCAAAGCCTTGTAGTTCAAGCGACCTTGTCTTAGAACGGTCACCCACAGACCTTTATCTCTCCACATGCCTTCCCAAAATAAAAGCAGACCACTTTTTAAAGAGGCAAACAACTCAGCAAGACGAAGAACATAGAGTGACATTTCTGACAGCCCGTGATGTCAGGTTTCAGCAAAAAGAAGACCGGTTGCGTGCTTGGTAATCCAATGCCTTGTTGAGAATCTAACTTTACTCTCAGTCTTTGCGAGGTAAAAAAGGCACCTGGACCATTTGTTAATTTGAAGTTACCTTAGCAAACATAGGCCTGGGCGATAAAACGGTATCGATATTTATCGATGGTACACCTTCGATATCGATAGAAAAATTGTTCGATATAGCGCACGATATAGGCATGTGCTATGAGTGACGCAGACAGCACACACAAACACATGCTGAAATGAGTGCTGTGCCTGCGATGAGGAGATTGTGAATAAAGAATGAATATTAGTCGAATTTAAAATAAACATTTACATTTAAATGTTAGGTGTGCATTAGGGAGCGTCATTAGTGGCGCGCGAGATGCAGTGATGATGTAAGTGACGTTGTTGCATTTTAATGTTTTGTTAGTCTAGACCATGCATTTGCATGTTAGGTGTGCATCAGGAAGCGTCATCAGTGGTGCGCGAGATGGGGTGATGATGATGTAAGTGACATTGTTGCATTTTAATGTTTTGTTCAGCATTGTAAACCCAAAACCATTGTAATTTTTGTGTGAACTATTGTGAGCAGCGGCGTGTGAACTATTGCTCTAAATTAATATCCAGTTTTAATTTTGTACTCCAGAAGTCATTGTTTACTTTTTTCCGCATTGTTTACTTTTTTCCGCATTGAGCTTCTATATTTCTCGAATATTTTGAATGAATAACGCGCCGCTGCTGCGTTATTCATTCAAAATATTCGAGAAATATAGAAGCTCAATGCGGAGACGATCTTGAATGGGTTAAAACTGAAACCAAGCCATTCACACATAACGCATATTCAGCGCATTTTCTAGATGGACAAATACAACTGCTGCACTCGCGTCTCACACAAGAGATGTATAGAAAGCCAACATTTTTTTCTATTGCTCTGTTTTAATTATTATTTTTTTTTTTTAAATGTCAATAATTATCGATAACAAACAATACGAAACATTATATCGTTGATAAATTTTTTAGCTATATCGCCCAGCCCTAAGTTACACTACATAATCTCATTCAGAAATCATGTATATGACATCAGTATTAACGTTTCAATGCCCACATTTACTTCCATCTAAGTAAACAATAACATTTCTGCTGTTTATGAAGACATGCTCAATAAAATCGTTCCATTTTGTTAGGCCAAACTCTATTTACAAGAACAGCATAGATTAAAATACAATGATAAACAATGAACAAACTGTCACAATACTTTAAGATTTGAAAAACAAATTTGAAAAACAAAAGTCAAACCTAATTTTACCTCTGTATAAAAAAAAAATCCTACTAAATATGCTTAATAGACAATGATGTCTTGCAAAAATCCCTAGCAGGAAGACAAATCAACAGAAATTGCATCTATAGATAAACTCCATTCGACACTGAAAAATAAAATAAAAATATATTAATTATTAATTCATTGTTAACATCTTACAATAACGTTTTATTTGTTAACATTAGTTAACTACATTAGTTAACATGAACTAACAACTAACAATACAGCATTTATTAATCTTTACTAATGTTAACATTTGCTAATACATTTTTAAGATCAGAAGTTGCATGTGTTAACATTAGTTAATGCAGTGTGAACTAACATGAACTTTTTATTAACTAACATTAACAAAGGTTAATAAATGCTGTAAAAATACATTACTCATTGTTAGTTTGTTAGGTAATGCATTAATGTTAACAAATTAAATCCTTCTAAAGTGTTACCTATTCATTTATTATTTACCTTAGCAACATGTTAATTGGGAGTTTAGTTGTTGCCTATGTAGAGCATTCAAAATCAGTCACTAATGTGTTATCTTTAACTGAAATTAAAAATTAGCTAATTGAAATAAAGCTCAAATAAAATGTTAAAAATAGAGGAAAAATTTAAACAAACAAACATATATAAAAGAAACTAACTAAAATTTACTAATAATTACTAACTAAATTACTAACAAAATCACAAAGTTACTCAAAAATGTAAAAACAAAAATAAAAAAAATGAATAAATTCTACTACAGAATACAAACAATACTAAAATAACACTGTATGAGATACATGACATCAAAATCTGCCATTTTTGCTGCTCATAATAGTCAAGCATGAATTCTTGACAATACATTGGGAAAAAAACTTGGACAAAAATCAATACTGTACATCACGACTTAATTTATTTATCCTATAAAAGCAGCAGTGAGTGTGTGACTCACCGTATGGTTTGGTGTGTGTGTGTGGATAAGATCTTACCCAGCAGCGGTACTTTGTTCTGCAGGAGTTCATAGTAGCCGGAGGTCATGCTATTGCTGGCCTCTATGAAATCACCTACCCTACCTTTAAATTCAACAATTAACAATTTGTCACAAAAGGAGTTTTTTTGATAGTAGTTGGCTACACAACAGAAAATGGTATAACCGTTTTGCAAAATCATATGACATGAACATGAATGAGTCTATTTCTAAGAACTTGACACTTTTTAAACTAGATTTTGTTCTTTATTGTAGAAAATGTATTGCTGTCAATTTTTGTTTTAACATTAGTGACAGCATTAAAGTTATCTTTGAAAAATTGCACTAAATACAAGAAAAAATATTTATAATGGTGAGAAATTTAGTAACGAAGAGTAAATTAAATTATTTTATAAACAAAATAAAAGTACCTAAAACACAACACATGGACTCAAATTTGTAATCCGCTGTTTTGAATGATTGAATCGCCTTGCTTGGCTAATTTTCGACAGCCAAATCTAGTCATTTCAAGGAATCCACACAACTTTGAATTTCGAGTTAATATTTCGCAATGGGTTTAGTGATCTCTGTGTGAGCTGTGCTTTATATATTACTACATTATTGATTATTATTGGAGATGTGAAGAATTAAAGATTGGTGCGACTTCTTGGCTTAAAGGGGTCATATAACATTGCTAAAAAAGAACATTATTTTGTGTATTTGGTGTAATGAAATGCGTTTATGCGGTTTAAGGTTCAAAAAGCACATTATTTTCCACATACTGTACATTATTGTTTCTCCTCTATGCCCGCCTTTCTGAAACATGTCGATTTTTACAAAGCTCATCGGTCTGAAAAGCGAGGTGTGCTGTGATGGCCAGCTATCCAGTGCGTTGTGATTGGCCGAATACCTCAAGCGTGTGACGGAAATGTTACGCCCCTTACCATACTGTGATGCCGTGTCCTGACAAGTCCCGTGACAAAACCAATAAAACCCATTACAAACGAGGCATTTGTTGCATCCAGTGGGGACATAATTACAGATTATAATGACTTATACTGTCTTTTTACGTGTTGCGTTGCATCGCACCGCATAAACATAAAACCATGTCTGCATTTGTGATCGGAGAAACGACAAACAAAAAGCACTACTCTACACTGCCCAAAACTCGTGTTTGAATAGTCAGTAGCAAATCCTTTAAATATGAAAACTTACTTACAGGCTGTGAAGTCAGCATTATTTGTCAGAACACCGGCATTGTAGGCTACTCTCCCAGTTTCAGGAAACAGTCCTCGTCCTCCGTAAAATGCGTTGCACATATCTGAATTTTGGTTTGAACTGTTCTGGAACAGTGTTGTAAATACAACTTAACCACTGATTTCTAGACGTGTCCTCTTTTGGAAGACCAAACAAAGTAGTTTCGCTTTCACACAGCATCTCCACAACATGGCGGCGGCGTCAACAACAATAGTACAGCGAGAATCAAAGTTATGCCTTCTTTCTTTGCGTGAACATTTGGGCAGCGTTATGCAAATCTTCCCACATCGTGACATAGACATGTGGGGGCATGTTTAAACGAGGCATTTTAGGAGGGCGTGGACGAGTCTTAACTTTTATAAAGAATATCTCTTTGGGTTTGAGACTTTAGTCTTTGCAACTTTAGGGATCTTATCTATTCACGAACAGCCTGTAACACTCCAAAGAGAAAGGAAAACTTGAAATCGCATCATATGACCCCTATAATTAAAAGAGCGCAAACTTGCCGTGGATTTCATATTTTTATATTTTAGATGTATATGTTGAAATATGATTTTAAAATAGAGAATTATTCCATGTTGAAAGCAGTTTAATACGGCTGCAATATAATACAGCATTAAATACTATGACGCTGTGTTTTGACATGATACACTGCTACTTTCCTTATTACTGGTAAAGTTTCATTATTTTGAAAACAAGCAAGCTACTGTCACAATGCTGGAGAATGTTGTTAGTAGCATCTCTACTTTTAGTTAGTCCCTTCCTAACACCAATACGGTGACATCTGACTAAACAGTGTAACCACACACACACACACACACACACATCAAGAATTCAGAGATTGCATGGGCTCAAAGGGAGATCCAGGCTCAAAAGGAATGAGGGGCGACTTATCAGAGTTAAACACAATTTAGAGAAGCACAAATCAAGCTACCATTAACATTTCAATGGAGCTTTGCAAACAAGACCAACTGTTCATCACAAGGCTGCAAACATGGTGGTGTTAGAGTAGGAAAAAATACTTCGGAATGGGAGTATGAGACAAAATAACTTGGCGGATACTGTATCGTAACACTTCTCAGGAAGAAACGTTTATTATAACACCACATAGACGACCAACATCCAGGCCAAATCGTGAGGTCAGATAAGCGATTCCATGACTCAAATCTTTATTCCACAACATTTGTATTTAGTTTCATAAACATTAACCTGAGACGACCATATTTACCATAGCAAAAGAGCTAAAGAAAACTGCTCTCAGAGGAACCGTCCATCTGTTTACACCAGCACACATTTGAAGGCAGATTCCAGCGCTGCCATACAACAAGTCCACTTTATGTATCAAGGCGCAACTTCCTTGTGACAAACAGTCACCCAGAGAGCATATGTGCAGCATCTGTATTCAACAGGCTGTGTTAAATGACAGATGTGTTGGCTTTTAATAAAGTTGTTCATGGCGTGTCGATACTTTAAAATGCAATAAAAAAAATCCAGGTTTGCTGTGCCTTTTTGTAGAGCTGTATAAGTTGGGGAAAATGTTGTGATTTTATACATTCAAAACATTTTTATTTTTTTGATGAAAAACTGGTGGATAATGAGCTGCTCAGGTGTAAACACAGCGTCACACTTCACTTCACTCTGAAACATGCAGCGCATATATTTATTTAAATCGCAGCCTTCACAATTTGATAATCATACTGATGAGTCGTGTAGTGATTACAGGTTTATTTTGATTAATTAAGCAGCCCTAACTTTATAAATTCATGATATATACTTTGAGATATAACATGTTACCATATATACCATATATAAAGACTTTGGAGGTACCATCAACCCCTATCAGAACATGATTGAAATTAACACATTATTTCCAGTTGGCACAACAAAGGCCACTATAAATAATAAACCTGAAACCTCTAAGCAAGCAGTTATTTAGTCTTATAAGATCATTTTTTTATTGCAGTTAAATGGAACATCAAATGTCTGCAAAAACTGATAAAAAGTTAGTCGTGATTGGTGCCAATGTTTGGCAGTAATCGCTGCTGGATTAAAGTCTGTGTCTGTCTGTGACCGAGCACATCTCTAAGATCTCCTGCAAAAGAGTTTCACTGAACACCTCGCATTCAACTGATAATGTGATTTCAAAGGTTCACACTAACAAGGGCACCAAATAAACCTTTGAGCTGTTTCTTCCTGTTTTTAAGACCAGCTCATTAGGCTAATTGGAGTGGAAAGTGAAGATCATCTACTGACCTTTAAAGACTTGTGATAGTAAACAGAGGAGTTCACTAGACTCAGTGGAGAGAGACAAAGACATTTAAAAAGAAATCAAGTAGCCTATATAATGGGAGATGAGTCAAACAAACTTTGATTTGAAGCAAAAAAAGTATTTGAAGATCGGACAAAAATACAAAGGTACAAGTCTGTACTTAACAGCTTTAATGGGGGAATGAACTACAATCCCATGAAGCCTCTCCAGTGACATAAAAAGATGGATAAATATAGAACTATTGATTTAAATATGCTGATTGTACATATAGAAGCAGCAGTTACATTTATTGCGAAATATGCATATTTACACAAATATTTAAGCAAATTACAAGTGCAGGGAAACTGAAAACTGCGCTTCATTTTGTTATGATTCTCTGATTGGTTGAGATTTTGCTACAGAATCATGGGTAATGTAGTTTTTCACCAGAAAGTTTGCTGTTAAAGGGGTCATATGATGCGATTTCAAGGTTTCCTTTCTCTTTGGAGTGTTACAAGCTGTTCGTGAATAGATCTTTAAAAAAAGCATCATATGACCCCTTTAACACTATTACTTGAAAAATACGTTAAATAATTAACGGGGCTGATGGCTTCAATAAAAGCATTTACTATTGTTTAACAATCTTGTAGCTCACAGTAGGCCTGTCTGTTAATGCTTTATAAGTTATAGTTAAAAATCAATTTCCTCATTGAGAAATTTCAATTGGATTTTTACTTGTGGAACCTGACTGTTGCAATCTATATCCACATAACAACCACCAGAACAACGCACTAGAATAGTGAGAGATTTGCACAAGCACCACTTTAGAAAATGTAAAAAAGGTTTAACAGTAGTCAGTAACTGGTATTTTGAGGTAAGTTATGCAGCACAAACAGCTGGCCTGCTACTCACGTGCTGCCGAGTCTGTAACAAAAGCCTGTGAGCATTCAGTGTAGCACGTGCATGTAACAGGGAACTCTTAGTTGTCTTGTATTTTGTTAACTTGAGAAAATTATTCTGAGTTTTCTCAGTGACAACTATTCAGAATTATTTAAGGTTATTATATTAGGTTGTAGAAATGCTAGAGAACATTTCTGTGGGTCAACGAGAGGACAATGAAGCCGCCTGTGTGTGTCGCTGGAACGTGGATGTGATTAAACAACATGGCCGCCTCCATGCTCAACCATTCTGACCTTTACAAAGAGCTCCTGCAACACTTACAAGCGAGCCCTTGACACTCCTACATAATATAATCGAATTCATGCATACATGTTTTATGCATACAGCTCATAACATTCTTTAAACAGGTCGAATTACTTAAAACATCAATATTCACAGTGTACATTACATTTATAGAGTCAAAGCACACGCGATCGGAGAAATCTATTAATGTTACGCACGCCAGACTTCAACCCTACAATCTATGCTTTAACCACGTGTCAATTATATGCGTGTTTCCATGATGGAAATGTTTCACGGGGAAATCATTCTAGTTTCCGCCGCTAGTCGCGCTTTGGGGGTTCAGTCTAGCATCTTTCTGGGTGAAAGGTCAACTTGTGTTACCCA